AAAAAAAAAAAAAAAAGATAAATCATTATAATGAGATAGTATCTCAAAATAATGAGATATATTATTTTTTTTTAGCAGAGTGGCGGAAACGGGCTTCCATAGATTCCTATATTCCTATTCAAGACACTTAAGATAAGAATAACTATAGTGTTACTATAGGCGGCTACAGATTTGTTTGACATTTTTGGTTGGTGGTGTGCCTCGTGATTTTTTTCTATGAATAAATGTACCCCTCATGGTGGAGTTGGGTTCACCTACTTTCTAAGAACTCGACATCCAGGTTGTCCCGGCTGACGGACACGGCGTTGAACCCCCCCGTGGGCTCGATGTCTTGCTCAAGGACGCCGGCAGAAAGGCAGTGCAGCAGACTGGTCTTCCCGGCTCCCTCCAGACCCAGAACCAGGACCTGGGTCCCCCTGGGCTCCTCAGGCTGAAACACAAAGAGGGGCAGGACTCAGATCCCAGACCAGGACTCGGTTCTCCTCAGAGAGAGGGAGTTTAGAATCAGAATCAGAATCAGAATCAATCAATCAATCAATCAATCAATCACTTTATTTTGGTAACTTGTCCACATTAAACACAAGAAACAACAAAAGAAAAAAAGAAAAGAACAATAGACAAACCCACAGTTTACCAAAAAAGGAATAGGCCGAAGCAAAGCTTATTCTTGCCTACCCTATTTTTTACCTTACAACCTACCAGGATTTCTTCAATACATAGTACATATATAGATCTACATAACAGCGTAAGATTTTATCGTTATACATTTTAAAATGATAATAAGAATAAGGTAACCAGTCCAATAATAATGAATATGTTCATTTATATATGTTAAAAAGAAAATATTGAAGCAATCCTCAGTGGTTTATGATCTCATTAATGTAAATTTTTTATTTTAAATGGATTTTTCTAATGTAATCCATGTTCAGTTATCTTCATGTATGTGAATAAAAATAAAATAATGTATAAATATAAGAATAAAAAAAGATTAAAAATGTTATTTTAAATGGTTTCCTCTCATGTAATCCATGTTCAGTTAGCTTCATGTATGTGAATAAAAATAAAATAATGTATAAAAATAAGAATAAAAA